TCCAATTTGTAGTGTGGTACATATATAAGTTTGTACGTGTTAGCGTTTGTGTGCATACGTGCGAGTAGACTGGACCGTGGTCTTGCGTTAAAACAACTCTACATAATATGCGAACGACAACGATATACAATCGTAATGCGACGACAAACGATTAATTGACTCTAGACGCGAGCGGGGTTAATAGTTTTTAAAAAGGATCAATTTAAAATCGCGCGTCATGTAAGACAAAAAAAAAAAAAAAAAACAAAAATTGAAATGATTGGTCAGACGCACGCAATGTGTGAACGGGGGAAAAAAAAGTATAAACAATGTAATGAGAAGGAAATTTAATGGAACGTAAACACGCTGGAGACGAGCTTTAAAGAAATGTTTTGTTCGTCTGCCCGTGATGCGGCGGCGCACACGAAATGTGCACGCGTAAAATAATGACAAAAACACATATTCATTCACTCACACACACACGGAGTGTGCCAAAGACGACGAGCGGTGTAAATAATAAACGACTAAAATAACACTTAAAAATATTGTGTTTGCTTGCGCGTGTGTGTATGTGTTTGAGTTTTTTGATTCAAATTTAGTGTAAAATTGAATGCGATTATATGACTTGACCGCGTATACCACGGTACAGTATGAAAAAATCACTGGTTGCTCAAACCGACTTTGATCTTGTATAGTTTCATTAATTTACTACAATAAAAACGATGTATTTTTTGAAACATAACATAAATTTACAAGATTAAAATTTCACGTTACTTTTTGTTATTTTACTATTATATTTCCTTGCTCTGGTATACGATGATTCGATTAAAATTTTCATAATGTTTCATGATTTAATTCTACACTTTTTGTTGATTCCCACCACTGAGATTATGCTGCGTTCAATCATTATACCTTATAACGAGTACAGTTGAACAGTCGACGCTATTGTCGTTTGTCACTGAAAATTTGAGTGGTAAAAATACCTATAGGTACGTATGTTAAATTATGTAATGCCTACAATGCTATAATAATTATGTTTTCAATTCGGAATAGAGTCGATGTAAAAAATTACGAGAATGCTCAAAGGGTCTGAATATCATTGGCGTAGCCAGGAGGCTGAGGTTTCTAACCACCCCCCCCCCCCCCCGGAAATATTAAGAAAATTAAAAAATTATTTTAATTTATTATATAAAATGTTGGTATACTACATTAAATCAATATGTGATAAGGGTTATAGAAACCAAAATCTAAATAAAATTTCAGTATCTGTATGTTACACTTATGAAAGAAACTAAGTGAACCATCGAGATGTAAAAATTGATCAGCCACGCCACTGGTATAAACTATTTTACATAGACGAAAAACTAATTGGTTTTTGTATGTATTAATTATAATAATGGTAATTTTGATTATGGACTGTCATGTTTACGTTTCGTTTGCATACTAAATTAGTGTATTTACTTAATATATTTATTCTTCATTTTATATCATATTGTTAAAATATTATATTCGTACAATATGTGATTATATTGTATTAGAAATGTTGAACTGATTCAATGGATATATATATCTATAAATAATATATGTATTTTATTTTTATTTTATCTCCAAATCACATAAATCAAACAGATAAAACGGGGCGAGTGGTTTTTATTCTTCATAATTTATTAGGTAATGGATCTTTACACGTTTCGTATAGGCCAGAAACTATATCGATCGAATTTCAACCTTTCCGTATACTCAAATATATTCACCATTTTAGCGATGCCATATTTCTTTAGTGTAAAACGTAAAGAAATATAAATGCATAGTTTCACATTTTATGTCATGGCTGCATTTTAGTATGACTTTGCGGGCATCTATTTTTGTCACGTTAAATTATTTTCTTTATATCTATGTGGCTATGAAACGCACTTTATTATGATGGCTTTTACTTGAATAAGTTTAAGAAAAATTTTCGATTTCAGAAATATTATTTTAGAAATAACCAAAATAAAAATGTTATACGTCAACTGACTTTCGTCAAAATAAGAACCCATATTATTAATGAATATTAAATTCACATGAACACACTCATGTAGTTTTAAATAATGAAGTTAATTTAAATTATATTAATCGGTTCCAGCTGTTATTAAAACTTTAACATGTGAGGAAATTTAAATGATAAAATGAAAGTAACTAAAAATATAGTAGAAGTATAATATATAATATGTGTACAATTACATATTTCTTACTGTATTATTTAAGACGTTTTGCATTTTAAATTTTAATTGATATTAAAACATATTAACTATATATTTGTGTAACTATATATTGTGTTTATCACTTTTTAATATTCAATATTGTTATGGTTTCAAAAAATTTATCAATAGTTACAGAACTCAATGAATTTAAAAATTTAACTTCTTTTGATCACCATTCAATGCCTTACAAACTGAAAACATAATTATATTACCTTAGAAATACTAATTTTGATTGTTAATAAATTTGAATATTTATATGGTCCGTTTCTAAAATAAGTGAGTTTTAGTTATTCAATGTTTTGTTTTATTTTTAATTTTAATAAATCTACAAAATTATCGATTATCATTAAATTATAATGCCCCACATACAGTTTGATTTGAATAATATATTTTGATTGATAAAAAAAAAAAAAAAAATCAATAATATTTTACTCTATTTTTACACGTTATTTAAATAAAGTTATTTATAAATCATTAATTTTATTTAATTTTATTATTTTTCTCAGGTGAATAATTCCAAAATCCTTATTGTTTTTGTTTAAGCTTGCCTAAAAATATTATCACATGTAAAAAATTTGGAAATATAATTTATTTGTACGTTTTTCAGTGTGCGGTATCGTTTTTAACACCAGAGATACTAATTTAAAATTGTTCCATAGAACCTTCATAAAAATTTAAAATGATAACAATTAAATTTTGTTTTTTTTAATGCATAAAAATAGTTGACGCTATACAATGATGTACTTAGTCGAAACATTAAAAATATGAATGATAAAAAATTCTGAAAGAATATACTATTCATTAATTCTTATAATATTTTATTTCAAAATATTACTAGCAAAAGTATTATTTTTATATTTACTTATTGTTCTATAATATTAAGCCATGCAAGTACAAGTACAATTTATTAACTTGATTAATATTGATAAACTGTGGTCGATAATTTTAATGATTTTTCATCATTTTTAACGTTTAAGTAGTATCTATTAGCATATCAATCATTAATTATTAAATACTACTGACTTAAAAGCATTCAAAATAAAAGTAAATATTTTATTACAAATTAATCAGAGAGTAAGCAGTTACAATATAACTTTAAAATTTTAAATGATGTTATCTCTTAGATATATAATTGTTGGTGTCCACACAATTCTTCTTCTCCCCCCCCCCCCCTTGTAATTTATGAAACCCATTAACCATTTGTTGATAATCATTCAACAAGTAACCTAAATCTAATTATATATTTTTTAGTAATTATAATGTGCCCAAAATATCCTGAGATAGGGACGTTGACATCATAAAATTCTAAATTCAACCTTCAATAAATACCTAGAACGTTTGTGTTCAATCAATTTTACCAGAAAAATACTATATTAAACTTCTTATTAGAATTAATTATTTGTAATAAGTTTAGGTTCGAAGTTAAATGTTCTTTACAACTTGTAATTTTTTTAGATAAATATAATTCTATACTAAATATTCTAATAATATAATATCTATCTATTTAAAATGTCATTCTTTGATTTTCAAAAAATTAACGACAGTAGTATATGAGCATTTATTGGATCTTTAGATTAGTTTTATATTATTCTAAACATTGACTTAAGATAGCTGCAAATATCCTATTTGATGATTTTCATCCATACATTTTTGGATTTATGCCAGAATTTACTTTTTATGATTCAACATTTTCTTCTGGTATTGTCAAAACCTTGAGTGTATACTACTTCAGAAAAATAAAAAAGGCTAACAGTAAATTTGCATTATTTCATAACGTAGATACTAAATTATAACTATTTTTCATTATTAAGAGCTCAATTCAAATTTTAATCAAATGAAACATACAGAGTGAATTTAAATATCACTTATGAAAGCGCCCATTATTCCTAGAACTTTGTTAAGGACAATAATTATCTAGTAAATTTTTGTTCTATGGTAAGTGTTCTTTCGACAGTCGATATATCTTTAATGATTATTTTTTTTCTGCATATTACTGTTTCTAAATATTGAATGACACAAATAATTTGGAATAAACAACACTTATCTTTAAATTTTTCTAATGAAAATAAATGTGATATTTAGTTGTACTTTTAAAGTAGTTTGAGATGTGTGTTATAATTAAAACTTATCTAGATAGTTTTCATAATTCGAGATTACAGCACTAATAAATATACATAATTAACTAATCTATTACTCTAAGTATAAAATATTATTATATCTACGATCTACCACAAACGTTAGTAAAAAAAAAAACACACATTTGTTTTCTGTATACTTTAGTAGCATGTGGTCTTCCAAATATCAACGTGAGGATTTCGATGTCAAACAGTTCGAAAAAGGCTTATGCATAAAATCAATCGTTTAAAAAAATTTTAGTTCTATGAAATAATTATACAAATAAATAATAAAACTTTATAGCCAAAAATACTATTGCTCTTGTAAATAAATATGTGCTATATTTTTAAAATATAATAGTATCTGTTTTTAGAATACAGTTGTACAATAATTATAATAAAAATTATGTAAAACATGGCAAGGATAATCTATATTATAGTAATAACAAAAAAAAAAAAAAAAACAAACTACAAAACATTCCATAAATTATTTAACTTAAAAACCACAAAACAAATAACGAATTTTTATAGTCTATGCTTCTCTACTTCAGTTAACTACTCTAACAAAAATAATTAAATATCAAATCTATGAAATAATTTCACAAAATATTTTTATTTTTTTTTTAATTGCTACATTTTTTTTTTTTAAGAATTGTCTACCTACCAGCTTCTGTATCGGTTTTGTCATCATCGTCTGATGGTAAGCCAGTAGCTCTCATTTCTTCGTCAGATATATCTAGTTTATCTGTCTCTGAATCCATCTGATCCATTTCGGTCGGTGGATCTGGTAAGTCAAATGAATATCCTGCAGGTGCTATGGTCCTCTCTTCTTCCGCTTCAGAAAGAGTCGGCGGTGGTGGCCATGATGATTCTTGACCTGTTGAACCCTGTAACATGCTCTTTTAAATTAATGGTAACAAAGACAAAATGATTAAAAACAACTTGTAAAATATCCAGATATTACGTACATAATATATAATGATATGCTCAATAATATTATATTTTCAAGATAAATAAAAAATATATTTCACTCAGACGACTTTCAATAAAATAGTATATAACTGAATAATTGCCAAGAATATTTAAAATATTTGTAGTTTCATTCATTTGTATAATTGTGAATAAACAAATAAGCGCTTAGACAGTAAAGCAATAAAACGTTATAGGAAATGAATAATTTGTAGAAATATTATAATGCTGTTAACAGTCAAGTTATGTCTATAATTTACTGGAAAAAGGAAAAATATTTATTTGGAGTTTTTGTTCAATTAAAACACCTATTAGTGTTGAATGATACAGGTATGTAATTATCATATTATGTTCATAGTTTATTTTTAGTATAAAAACAATAAATGATAGATTATTTATAAGAGTTAAAATTTTTAAATTACATAACGTATTTTATTAAGTTCCTTTAATCAATTATATGTACATAATTCCATATAATATTGATTGCTAAGTAATACAAATTTATTTGTTAAATTAAATTAAAAAATATAATTTTTAAATTTAATTTATTGACTTTAGATAATATTATTGAGTATATATAGTATATGTATATACTCAATGATAATACATACAACCATCAATCAGTTGTAAGTTATATTTTATTTTTACCTAGCCGTATTCAATTTTATATTATTATAAATTTAGTGTGATTGATCATTTTTTTTTTTTTTTACACGGAATACTTTTTATTCGTAAATCAATAGTATTTTTTATTAAAATAAACCTAAAAATATGATAATACTAAATTATTTTAAAACTTAATATTTTTGAATATTTAACTTAATTTTAGCCTATTTTTACATGTTATAAATGTTGAGGTGTTTTAAAGGCTTATTATGTAATAGTAATTGTATTAATGGATCAATGTATTATGAATTATACCACGATAAAGGTTAAATAACTTGACTCTAGTAGTTCAATCATCCTTTAGTGACGTGTTCCTTATAGTGAATATTTCTGGTAATGAAGCATAAATGGTCTTAAAGTGCCAAATAATTTAACATCTTTGTAGGCTAATAAACTTTGAATTTGAAGCCTTTATTTAAAAAAAAAAAAAAAAAAAAAAAAATTTAACATCTAAGGTTAGGTACCTATTATTTATATTAAAGCAAGTTTTATTCGAAATTGCTAATATATCAGCTTAATGTATGTCCTTAAATGTTTAACTTATTAGTTGTAAAACTAAATTTTAACCACCAAATCATACAAAAATATTATTTTAAAATTAGTTTCTATTTTATTTCATTCATTATTGAACACTTAACAAACAAAAATAGATATTTCATGTAATGTAGAAAAATATCGATTGTTAATTTTTGAATAAATTGTTCTAATTTTATATTATTGATTTTTTCTCAATTTTCTTATGTATATGTTTACTTTAGATGACTATACTAATTAAATATGTGATTCATTTTAGATTGAAAATATAATGATAATTATTTAGTTAATAATTTTATATTTTATATAATTGTCATTTTTTGTTTAGAATCCGTCATCGTTTTTACAATACACAGATGCCGAATACATCTCGTTAAATAAGTAACTAAAGTGTATATTTTGAATTGGAATTTAAAAATGTATCATTGCATATAGAGTTGTTTAATGATTTTAAAAATGCATTGTTAACATTTTAACTTAAAATATTTATAAACAAAAAAATGTATATATTGAAATACTTTAATTATTAACTTTGAATGTGTTTTGGGTATAATTGTGGATCTAGTTAGTACTTTAAAGAGATTAAAATTAAACTGTTCTGTATTTTTTTTTTTAAATTAGGAAAATCATACAAAACATTTTCCCACTAAATCAGAATTTGACTAAATTTATTCTCTGTTTTGTTATAAATCAAAAACGAATAATCATAGAAACTTGATATTTTCACCAAGTATTTATATTATAATAATTATTTTATATATATAATATATCTATGGTATTATGTTCAATAAATTAAAAACAAAACAATTTTCATGTCGATAAAAAAATTATAAATAAGTAAACAAGATTGAAAATATGATATAAGGTTCCAATAAGTGGCTCATTTCCTAATTCTATAATATTGATATTGATATTATATATCAATGTCACAATATTTGTAAAATCAATTCATCGTTCCAAGTATGGGAAAATTTTAATTTTTACTTAAAATCAATTTTCGATAAAATCAGTTTTGTATTTTTATGTAATTATAAAACTAATAGATAAAACTAATAGTATATAGAAACTTGTTTTGTTCACAAAATATCTGAATTTTAATTTCTTTAACATAAAGTTATTCATCACAAGTGTAATATATGATTGTTGGAATACTATATAATATAGTATATACTATATTTTAGTTTATTGTCATGCATCCCATTATAGCAAGCAACTTAGGTTTTTGAGTTTTTCTATTTTTTTTCCAGTTCTATTATTGATTATACTGATACGTAAATGATGTACGTAAATTTGACGTAGAATAAACAAACAATGCATAAACCGAGCTTAATCCAAAAATAAAACGATGCGCATTGTTTTATAAAAATGGTAGAAATGAAAAATAATGATGCGTAAATAATACACGGCCACTCAATAATATTTTAAACACATTTAGACTAATTTTAAGTTATTTATAGGAATTTAAATTTTTTTTTTTTATTATTGACTTTTTATAAATTTTGGTAAAAATGTTTTTCAAACTAAAAACTTAAAAAATATAATACCTAATAATTGTATTTGTGTCGTTCTGAAAATAGCAAAAATAAATAGACATAATTGTATTATTTTTCATTATTTAATATTTTTATTTTTAGGAAATTATGAATTTTTTTAGGTAAAAATATAAATATACCCTTTATGATTTTAATTATTTTATAGTAGTTCATTCAATAGTATGTAGTATGTACTTGAAGCGTGTCTATACTATATTCTGTATATTATTATTTTGTATATGACACGACATTTTCAAAAAAATTTAGATATTTTCAATTTTTTCACACCTTTCTGCAGTAAATGTTATAGATTTATAAATTAGTATAACAATAGAATATAATATTACATTAGAATTTCTATTGAATATATTATAATACATGCAATATTTTGTAACTGTTTTTATGTAATATATATGCAAAGGCAAATAATTAAATATTTTAATATTAAATTCAAATTTAACTCATCCATTGCAGTTATTTAATGATGAAAACTGGAAATAATACAATATATTAACAATTTAATTTACAGTGTTTTATTATTTTTTAGTCGTCTTAATTTTCATTAAATTGTCTTTTTAATTAATTGAAATAACCAAAGAGTTAACTATTCATTTTACACAAAAAATTAAATTCTAGAATACAAATATAAGTAATCATAACAACTAAATATATTTTGTGTTTATTACACTAGGTGGATGAATTAAATAGATAATTATAATTGCATTGGTATCATAATAGAAAAAATAAAAATTAATTTGAAATGTTTAATTCAAAAATTGTTTTCTTTTAAAGTCATTACTGACTTACAGGATGTAATATTGTTATAAAAGAGACAATTTCCAAGAATATTTTTATAAACCTACACTAATAAAAGAACACAAGGGTGGGTATTTCTTCTGAAACTATTATGAGTTCACAATAATATTATGATCTAGGTTTCAAATAATAATTCTTTGAAATACACACAATTTATTTACCTTTATTAGAAATGTATTGACTTAAAATTGTTTGTTTATTATTCAAGTCTAATAATAGGTATATAGTGATTGTTTTTATTTTCTACAAAATTATTAGCGTTATGATAAATAAAAATTTCAAAATTTATGTTTTTGTAGAATGTGCATACATCATACATTTAACAGATTGTATTTAAAAAAATAAATTTGTTTAAACAATTTGTTGTCCACTATTTTGTAATTTATTTAAGTAAAAATATGTTGAGAAAAACAGAGAAAGAAATGTTTTTGTTGTTCAAACTAATACAATAAATAATTCATTATAAAATTAAACATTTAAACTCTATGTATCGATACACTAAATAAATATTTAAACATCGAGTTTTATGCTTTTCGAATGATAAATTATAATTCGTGTACAATTTACCTACTAGAAATGAAAGTTAATGTTCTTTACTAATTAGAAATATTATTTTAAGCCGATTAAAAATTTAATTAAGTCAATTAAATTTATTCGTTCATTAAATATTTATAATTAGATAAATTTAAAATAAACCCAAGTCTATAATATATTTTACTTCGCGTTATTTTCTTTGTTACTTAACTGTGACTTTTATTCTGTTTCATTTCTATATTCAATTTTTCTTGCTTACTGATCAATAAAATATGAATATAGATATGAATAAAAATGAATAAACTATAACAATATTAATATATAAAAAAAAAAAAAAAAAAATTAAAATAAGTATTGGAAATTGCAATAACTAAAAAGTATTTCTTATAAGTAGTGAATATTATTTTTTTAAATGAAACTGATAAAATTGTATTATTTCATTTACAGATTTTCGTAATTTTCTAGAGAATCTTTTAGTCAATATTAACACATTATAATATCTTTATCTGTTATTCGATTGTATATTTAATTACTTTTTAGTATGTTTTAACATTTAAATTATGTTTAACTTATAAAACACATTACATATATAACAATGCTGAAAAAAATGTATTAATTATTATTTTTATTATCTATTACTTATTAGAAAGATATTCAATTGTACTTACTACTTACACATTATATATGCTTTTAGTAGTACTATACCATATATTCTTAGTACAGAAGTTAAATTCAATTAAAACTGAATTATTTCTCTTTCAATCATAATCGCAGATTGCTCAATTTTATTTTTCTCTCTCTTTCCTTCTTTTTCTTTTTATCTAACACATACTCAAATACTGTCCACTTATTTTTCACGTTAAATATATATATATATATATATTACTCGAAATAAATTTTTTTCATGGTACATTATATGATAGTTATCATAGTAAACATCATGAGTCATGACTATAACATTTGCTATAAAACACTCTTACTGCAATATCATACAGACAAATTCACACTATACTTGACAAATACGTTTTTTTTTTTTTACTTTAAATTATATTGTTATACACAATATACCATATGACATTAAATTTGTTATTACATAAATATGAATTTATTTTTAAGTGATTTATTCGTATGACTTACCGTGTCCAATGAATGCTGTTGTAGCGGCGGTGGCGGTGGTAATGAAAAGTCACTGCTTGCGTAATCGGCTGTTTCCGAATTGTCAGCATCACGATCCTTGAGCGAGCTTATTAAGGAGGAATTGCTATTACGTTTTTTGATGTTTCTGTTCCTGACTATAGCTGCAGTCTTCTCCACAGCCTGTTCACATATCCGGTTCACAGCCTCTCGCACGCTATGTATCATCGTCAAACGGTACTCAGTGTCCAATTCCGACACCTGGTATTTTGAATCGTTAGAATTAATCTTATCGACATCTCCATCTTCCTGGCTTGTACAGACTTCTCCAACGTGATGTTCATTTTTTTGATCTAACTCTTTTTCGACTTTCACAACTGATTCAACGTTATCACCAGGAGCTTTGGTATCGTCTGATATATATTTTTCATTTGGTTTTTCATTCATGTCTGATTCAACGTTTGTGTCTGATTTAACTATTATGTCCATTTCATGGTTTCCATCTGGTTTGTCGTTCAAAACTAATTTTTTAAGCTCATCAGATTTGTGTATAACTTCTGGTACTACCGTTGTAGATTCGACTGAGATCGGTACCATTATAGCTATCTTGTCATTGTCGCGTTTGATAGGTTTCGATGAATTTTCTGCACTGCCGTTATCATACGGTAACGAAGACCCTCGAAGAACACCATGCTGTCTATCTCCTGTTCCTTCTGCTGTTGATGTACTCGGTGGTATTGCGTCCCTTGAAGGGAGACCTGTAAAAAGAGAAAAAAATACAATGACAAAGTATCAAAACTATTACATAAACGTGTTTACAGTTTCAGCTGAACAAATTATACATAGAAAAAACGTAACTCATTTATTCAATTAAAAAATTAAAATTATCGTTGATTATTATTATATTGTTTATTTATTATTTTAATTGGTATTTAAAATAAAAATGTATTGTAAAAAATATTATAAATACTTAAAGCTATTGCTTTATTTTATACGAATTTGTTTTCTCTGTACTGACATATTAATTTAATTTCCATGTTGAAAATTACATCATTTTCCTTTAAAAATGTGTAAGTTTTGACTAAAAAATAACACGTTGATATTACTGATCTCTATATTTTATTGTTCTATTCATACACGAAGCATACTCGTATAATATATATAAATATATAACTAAATACAATACATAATATTAATAATCCTAGTCGAAATTTGGTAACGGTCAATGTTGGAAATGTTCAAACATTTAAGAGAGATTCTTTTTGCCAAATATTGAAGTAAATATTTGTAAACATCATAAACAATTTAATTCAGAATTTGATTTATTTGATTCCAATAACTAAAACCGTGGTTTTATGGGACAGTTGTTCGTCTAGTCTTCCTATTTTAATATCATACCCGTTTTATCATTTTGCCTATCCCGCTTTGCACCTGTTTGGCTTTCTCAGCACTTATTCATTTAATTTTAATTCAACAGGTGTATGCCATTTTATTTTCTACCTAATATTGTGTTGCAAATTTTATTTGATTTTTATTACTATTTATTTCTATAATATATTCTTTACTAATTTAAACATTTACAATGCTTTACCCCTATGGTTTTTTACTAATAGTTTGAGATCTTGCTCAAATCAACAGACTTTAGTACGACTTTCGGTTCTCAAATCTCAATCGCTCTTTTTGGTAATTAATTTTGAATGTTCACATCTTCACAATACACATTTAATTATGTATTTATAACTATATTATACAAATACAATGCAAACATTTTAAAATGCTTGTATTTCATCCGCATATTTTTTCGTTTTACTAGCTATTTTGTTATATAGTAGATTTTATTCCACATTGAAAAAATTATTAAAATTCATATTTTTTTTACACAAATTAAATTTATTCATTCCTGCATTAACTTTATTTCACATTATTATTTATTAATCATAACCGTGATATAAATAATATGTTACATGTTTATAAACTTAATATTGTCACATTAATAGACATTTTATCACGAGATTAAATTGTTTTCAACCAATTTTAGCACTGAAAAATTATTACTCATATTTATTAAATTAAAATATTTATTTATTCACTTTTTGTTTTAGTTTTACTAGCTATTATGTTAATAACTATGTATTTTATGTTTATCATAACAAATCTGGGTTTACAATGCTTATATTTATTTTCTATTTTTTAACCTAATTAAAAGTTATGCGTCAATTAGACAAAACCTAATCAATAAATAAAAATATCCATAAACTATACAATATATTATATAATAATTGATTGATATAACATTTCAAAATAATACTGTTTATTTTTCATGCAAATGAATAATAAAAATGATTCAATTTTTATCTGTTTTAATAATGTTTGTATTTTTATCATTTTTGTATATGTTTATTTACATATTTTCAGTAGTTAAGTTATTATCATCAAATGATAGTATATTTGACTGAAACTTAAAACTTATATCAAATGTTCATAATGTTTGTATGTTTTCAGATATATGTTGATATATGTTATTGTATGATTTATTTAAAACATACTTGATTAGTGATATGGTTGTTCAAGCGTGCGTAATTGTATTTAGTCGTGAGAAATTTTTGCACCTGGGACTAATGAATAGTAATACACAACAATATTAATATACTCTTTTACACATGATATGTAATATATCAAATTTTAGTTGCATGATTTATAATAAGCGACTACAGTCCATTCATCTAAAACACTCAATGGTTATGATAATAATTTAAATCTCATCGTAATCTATAGACATGACAAAATTTACAATGTTTTAAATATAAAATAACTTATTTTTCTGCTTAAAGTATTACACTAAATATTATGTCAACACCACTCAAATATTTTTGAAACGTATTTTTCATGTAGTTAGGGTAAGTGAACTTAATATTACTTATTTTTTTCTTTTAACTGAATAAACTGATAAAATTATTTCTATAACATCTTTGAAGTAATTAACATAAAAAATGAAAATTGTGATAAATAACTTAAATAATTGAAATAAAAAATTTAAAAAAATGATTGAGGTTGAAAACTTAAAGTATTTATATAATATAGTGAATATATTATTTTATAATACACTAATCATTTAAAATTTAACTTGGAATTAATTTATTATTCATTGTCCACTTCTTTACGTATAATAACTAATTTTTTCCCTGTTGGTGAACAAACAACAGTTAACTTTTTATTAACTTTTATGATAAACTATTGAATACGTAATGTAATTCTTACAAGGTAAATGTTTATATAGTATATGCAAGCATATATTGACGTTATTTAATAAATATAAATGTACAGTATAAACATGTCAGGTTTCAATAACAATGAAAAAGCACATACATTATTAATAGGTTTTTGAATACATGCACCTGATTCAGTTGATCTTCAAACTCTATACGAGGGTAATATGTTAAACTATCTTATAAAATAGAAGTAAAATACTTAATAAGTATAAATAAAGTATGCTGAAGTCCAATACTTATCCTGCATAACAAAAATCAATATAAATGAAAAATATTACATTTAATGCTCAAAGTTATTTTGTATGCTTTAAATAACACAAGCTACAGAGACTTAAACTAGTAAATAATAATACCTTAAAAACATACTAACACCATAACCATTTTTTATTTTAGCTTTTGCATTTCATGAAATTTCTAACGTTTAGCATTCAAATGTTTAAACGGGTTATTAGTTTTATAAATAATTAATTTCACTCTTTTATAAATACAAAACAAAAATATATTTATTGTGATAGAAGTACATCGTCCGTACATATTTGAATATGTAAGTATATCAAATTCATACCATTCATTTCTCTACTTAATGTGTATACAATATTATACTAATGCATTATAGTTGTTTTTATATATTATAATATTTAGTATATTGTATATATCTATTGTACATAAAAATGTAGATTTAGCAATACAATTTGTATGTTATTATATATACAAATTATGTATATACAAACAAAAAGGTTGTATAATATTCTTATTTTATTTAAAGACTATTCTATAATAAATTATTGAATATTGTGTGCTCACAAAAATGTTTAAGAATGATTTCTCTAAAATTAGATTGATTTAATAATTTAATAAATTAAAAAAAAATAAATTATAATTAAAGCAATTGTAACACTTATAGGTATAAATACATTATATTTTTAAAAAAATATCAAAGGCATCAAACATAAGTTAATAACCTTTAGTTTCAAATTACATTTATTGTTGTCATTAGTTCTATCTTTGAGGTTTATATTAAAACTTAGTTAAACAATTTTTCATCCTTAATGTATAATTTTGTAAGATTCAAAATGGATTTTTTGAAAACCTGAGTAATGGAAGATGTTATACATTGAGAACAATTAAAAAAATAAGTGTGAAAAGGTATCTAATTGGATTTTTTTTAAGTATGCATTCCAAGAATCAATCACAAAAATTGTTGATGTTTTACGATAGATATTTAATAATTATTATTTTATTTTTTGAACATACATTAACATTTGTATTAAATAATTTCATTTTTTAATTGTTCAAAAGTTATAATTTATGTTATAGTTCGATACAACATTTACATTACAAACCTATATAATATTATATAATATAACTAGCTGACCCGGCCACGCGTTGCTGTGGCTAAAGTTTTTGTTATATTACATTAAGAGGAACAATAAGAGAACATCAGTCACGGAGTCCACTATGCTTTTTCACACAGATGGTATTTGTAAAAAAATATGGTGATCTCCTTTTTTGACTTTCTACTACTATAACCCTTTAGTACAATGAAATTATTTACTAACAAAGACGAAAATGTTGATGTTGGTATACAAATTCACTGGATTGAGATTTGAAGGGGAAGTACGTTGAACACAATTAATTAAAATGTTCTTACACTTGATATTAAGCAGAAATCAATAGGTACAAAATAAAAATTTATCAGATTTATTATTTCCATTTAATTTTATAAAAATATAAGTATATTACAGTATAATACAGTAAATAAAATGTGACGCTTAAACTCATGAATGAGATAGGCAAGGCAGACAGTCTTAAACTTTTAAACATTAATATCTATTTTTTTTAATTATAAATACTTTCAATTTCAATTTAATTTAACACCAACCGGTGCACAATGTTTTTGGTTAACCTGTCTTTAGCTAACACAAATAGATTCGACGGTTTCCCAACACGTAAACACGCAACATATAGTTACCCATGAGAAAAACATGGATTTTCCAAATCTAAACCACAAATGGACATTGTTTGAAAAATAATTTTCAATGGAGGTTAAATAAAAATAATATAAAAATTTTTGTACAATTATTGAAAAAGTGTGGCAATGCCTGACGATGCTACTGCTAATGCGATTTTTTGTTGCGACCGTATTTTGGCAAGAATCAACGATATTAAAAATGTCTTACCGGTTCCACCGGGTGCATCCAAGAAAAAAAAACCGCCTTGTTCAGCAGCAACAGCCAGCATAATCCGATTATAAATAATTTTTTGTTCTGCTGTCAGTAATGGTTCACTGTTCATGATAATTGTTGCTAAACTTCCATGGTCATATTGATTTTCTCGTTGTAAATCGGTATTGACTAAGTCGGTGGCTGGACGATTAGGTGATGGCATACCATAATGATTAAGTGGTAAATTTGAAATAAGAACACATAAATCCTCGATCAAGACCAATGCTTCATTGTACATCTCTGGTGTATAATCTATGTTTTGGC